TCTTAGGCGACCCCTGTGATAGGATCATTCGACCCCCAAAGGGGTCTCGACCCACAGGTTGAGAACCGCTGTTTTAGCGAAAGGATTATCTTCTGGTTGGAACCTCTTTTTCTTGTGGGGAAGAGAAAGGGAAGGGTTTTCGTTCTGCGGATTGCCTCTTCTTTCTGTGGGGGGTGGAGGGGACCCAGGTGACAGATTACCTTCCTGGAGCTTGTCCAGGAAATTCCAGACTGGCTGGTGACGATTACATTTCTGGGAAAGGTTGGAACTGCGATTAGGTCCGGTATGAGGTCATTTTGGGGCCTGTGGTTTTCTCTTTAACAGCTATGGCCACGGAAGTCTGTTGTATGGGACAGGGCTGGGACTGGGGACAGCAGGGAGGGAAAGATGCAGGTGATGTTGTCCCCAGTGCCCTGTGTGAGCCCTACAGGGGGAAAGCCAGCCTTACAGAGGATGCCCCTTCAGGGGGAAGCAGCACTAAAAGCACTCTGACTCAAGATGAGTGGGGAACCATCCCAATAAACATATTTTGGATTAAGAAAAAACAAACCCAGACATTTCAAAGGCAGACCATGTGATGATCTGGTTAAAATTGTAGGTGTGAAAAAAAAAACAACAATGAAAAAAGGATGGGGGGAGGAGCTCTGCAACTTCCTAGCTCTGAGATCTTGGGCCAATCACATTGCCACCTTGTGCCTCATTATTCTCATCTGTAAAATGGGAGAACTAATCGATCGCAGGATTACTGAGAAGGAAGAGAGCGGAGCCTTTTGGAACACTGCTGGGCGGGCACTCAGGAGGTGCTCCATCAGTGTTAGTGACTGCAGTCTAGGAAGGAGACAGAGACCGGAAAGGGATTTGTTCAGCCTTGGTCTCCACACAATGCCTTACACCCAGAGCACCCTACAGCAGACCTTGCAGAACTCCCTCAAAGCAGACCCCACCCCACCCCACCCCGTGGCCTTCTCCACTGGGCCTACCCACACCAGCCACCAGGTCACCGAAGGCCCTTTGTCTTCTGCAGACAGAAGTGGAGACTTCAACATCTGGGCTGACTGCCACTTGCTACACAGCGCCCTTGGGCAAGCTGCTTTCTCAATGTCCCCAAGCTTCCGCTTTCTCACTTGTAAAAACAGAAACACCAAGACCCACCCCCTAGGGTTGTTGTGGGGACTGTGTGCTGGGCACCCGGTTGGTCCTTCCTCCAGTGGACAGATGTGTGCAGACCTGCCCCTCCCTCTCACCTTTGCCCTGCCCATCACCACCAAGCTGATTGGAGGGCAAGAGCCACCACATTCCTGGGTTCCTGGCCTCCCTGGCTCTAACCCAAACCTTGAACCAGAGTCACACCTTCTGTGAAGACCAGCCGGAGAGCCCCATCCCTGGCTGCCCGAGTCAGGGTTCAGCAGGAACTCCTGTCCCTGTCACAGCTCCCTGCCAGAGTGACTGACCTGAGTCCTAAAGTGACCCCCACAGGAGCAGACATCGGCAGCCTGAGCGCTAGGCAAAGACCTTGGCCTGCTGGGGGCTGGGATGGGGTGGGAGGTGGGATCCCCACCCCATTTCTGTCCCCATCTTTAGGCATGTGGCTGATCATTCAACTTCCTCACTGGCACAGTGGAAGGGGGACGTGTGACGATAGATAGGGGTAGGGAGTGGCCAGGGTCAAGCGGCTGACCTGGGGCAGGGCCACAATCCAGTCCCAGCCTGGAGGGCAGAGCTCTCCTTGCATAATTAAGCCTGACCTTGTAGCCCTCCCTAATTCCTTCCTAAATAGCTAATGGGCTGTGGGAGGTGCAGCAAGTGTTGCCAAAACAAGAACCTTTGTATACATGCTAATCTACCCTTGTTTTCATCAGACTGTATAAAATAAATGCCCTGTATCAGCTCGGCTCAGTGGATAGAGCATCAGCCTGGGGACTAAAAGGTCCCAAGTTCGATTCCGGTTAAGGGCTGATCGATGTTTCTAACTCTCTATCCCTCTCCCTTCCTCTCTGTAAAAAATCAATAAAATATATTTTTTAAAAATAAAATAAAATAAAGCATCTGCTTGCAGGCTGGGTCTTCTGTGTCCTCATCCAGGCATGGGAGATCCACCGAGCCCCAGCTGTATTCTCTTTGTCTGTCTTCTTTAATCCTTCACGGCCCCTCCTCAGGTTCACCCTTGGCTGTGCTGGCGCGGCACAGATAGGATTGTGTCCTGAGAGAACTGGGGGTTCTCCCACAGAAGCCTTTCCCCACAGTTCCTGAGGACTTCAGTGTTCCCATCGCTAGAGGCAGAGTTGAGCAGTAAGAACTCACTCACCATGGGTGGCAACACAGTCATCAGCCCACCTGTTCCCCACCCCATCAGTGACTTTGGAAACAAGGTGAAAATGGCTGCTAATTGCATCCAAGTGGGGAGGGGGTTGGGGGATGACCCTGGGCAAGTCATTTGATCTGAATCTCATTTCCCTGTTGTAAAACGGGAATGGTATTGGAGTGACTCATTAGAGTGAAGATAAAATGGGAAGCAGCAGGAGATTTTTTATTATTATCATTCAACAACAAATATCCAAGACCTACTGTGTGCAGAGTCAATATGCTAGGGACTAGGAGGACATTAATAAATAAAACACCCCGGCCGGTGTGATGGTTGCACGTCGTCCCATGGACTGAGAAGTTACCGATTCGATGTTCTGCTCTCACATCCATCTTTCTCTTTCCCTCTCCCTTCCTCTCTTTCTAAAAACCCTTCCTCTCTCTCTAAAAATCAATAAGCCTGGCCAGCATGGCTCAGTGGTTGAGTGTCAACATATGGTTTGATTCCCTGTCAGGACCCATGCCTGGGTTGTGGGCTCAATCCCCAGTGATTCTCTCTCATCACTGATATTTCTATCTCTCTCTCTCCTCCCTTCCTCTCTGAAATGAATTTAAAAATTTTTTTAATTTAAAAATAAATAAATAAAGCATGCTCTCCACCCTCGTGTTGCTTACACCCTAGTAGGGGTGACATTGATTGTGAGGGATGGTGTAGCTAACAGCGAAGGCAACCAGGTTGGAAGCCCAGCTCTATCATTTACCCACGGGGTGACCCTGTCACCTCAATTCTCTGTGCCTTCATTTCTCAACAATAAAATGAGCCATACACCCAGGTCATAGGATGTGAGGATTACATGAGTTGATACATGGGGAAATACCGTATGTATAGCACCCACCATGTGCTCTGGCAGCACACACATGACGAGTGCACTAAAAGGAGCTGTGAGATAACTGGGCAAGAGATGATGTCGAGGCTGGGCTACACCAGCAAACGGGACAGGCATGTTCTGAAGAGGGTGGTCCCCGGGAGAGAGCAGGGTGTACTGGGAGCTGGAGGAAAGGGTGAGGGGTAAAGACAGGGCTGAGAGGAAGTGAACCAGCAAGTGTTTCCGCGGCTGGGACCCTGGAGTTGCTGTCAAGGGTTTGAAGGATCAGGTTGGCAGCTTTAAAGCACTTGTTCCCCTTTGTGTGTGTGGAAATGAGACAGATTAGTAAATCCTATCTTCCCTGAACCCAGAGGAGAAGGCAGAAATCCAAGTAGCGCTAACTGCCAACCACACCCAAGGACAGATGAAGTTAAGAGAATGAACCTCGTTTTAGTACATCGGCATAAAGCTGATGACCATTCTATAGAGATGCTCCCTAAGACCTTCCCTGAACGCCCAGCCTTTAAAACCCCTCAAAAAGAAGGTCTTGCCTCCAGCTCTACCTTCCAGGGGCAGCCAGCACCTTCCTCCTCCTCTCCCCCCCCGCACCCCCCGCCCCAGGCATGCATCTACTAAACTCTAATAGTCCCAGCAGCCTTGCAATCAGGGCTGCAATGGGCAGTGGCAGTTCATCCCATGATAACCCTCCGAACTTGTCCCCCAAGGCCCCCTTTTCTCTTTTTGGTGAGTCAGCGCAGACCAGCCTAGAACCATTTCCCAGCCTTCCTTGTTTCGCTGCCCCCAGCTTTAATGACTGTCGTCTAGATTCACCCAGACTCGTGCTAAGAAATGTTTCCTGCACGAAGTCAAGAACCCACACACGACCGTCTGGCCCTAGGCAGACCCGCTCAGGGCCAGGTACCCTTTCCAGCAACAGAAATATGACACACATGTGCCCTGTTCATGGCCGTCGCCCCAGCCCCTGGCACGGAGATTAGGGTAACACCCTGCAGACCCTCACTTCCTCTGGTTTCCAGCCCCATGGCTTTCAGATCGCTTGGGGCCTTTACATGTGCTGGCTGTCTTCGTGGAGTGGAGCAGGGGAGACGGAGGGAGGACTGACGGTGGAACCGGGCTTGGGGCACCTGCGTGCTCCCCACTCACACAGCCCCTTTGTGACCCCATGAGTCAGGTGTGCATGGACTTGAACGCAGGCAAAGCTTTCTCCCGAGTGTTGTGAACGTTCAACCACGAGTGCGGCGACCAAGTCCAGTGCCCTGTTCGCAGTACGTTCGCAATAAATATAAGCTTCACCTCTTTCCTCTCGAAACAGGATCTTCACTCCTCGCCACCCGGCTGGGAGGGCAGCAGGCGGTGGGGGGAGGTGGCTGGGAGCAGACTCCGAGGAAGCAAAGAAGGTAGGTATTTCGGTTGCAACAGCCCTGGCAAAGGGCACACTATTCGGTCCGCAGGCCCCCCTCTCCATAACCTGCAGCCGGGGAAGGGTCCCCGGGGCCGGGATGGGGCGCCGTGACTCCGCCTGGGGGCAGAGGGCCCCTCGCTGCGGGCACGTGGGAGAGGAACACGGGAGCCGCGGAGCTGGAGGTGGGGGTGCATCCCTGCACATCTCCGGGATCACAGCCCTGGGCGGAGCGGCAAGCCCGCAGCCTTGGCACCCCAGGGCATGGGGGCGGGACTTACGCAGGACCGTGCGTCCACTCCCACGAGGGTGCCCCCACCCACGTCCCTACCCTTCCTGTCATTTTTCGCAGATGACATGATATTGTACATAGTAAACACCAAAGACTCCTTCAACAAACTACTAGACTTAATAAATGAATTTGGGGATGTGCGATAGGACAGCCGCTTGTGATGTGCGGGGACTGCGGTGGCTCTGGCTCTGGCTCTGGGGCATTTAAAGGGGACGAGCGGTGGCCCGGGCGGGGGGGATGGAAGGCAGGTGGAGGGGACGGCCCAGACGCACATCACCCACGGCCCCTCCGGACCGGAGGCACTCGTGAGCCGCAGCCCAGAAACCCGAGGGTGGATGAGACACCGCGTCCCCTCCAGCTCCCGCACGCACCCCCCGCTCCATCCTGCGCCCCAATACCGCCGCGAGCCCCTCTCTCCACTCTCTGCGCTTCAAACTCAGCCGGGACAGACTTCCGCCGCCGCCGCTCCGCACGTGAGTCCTGGGTTCCCCGCGGTCGGGGAGGGCTGGGGTCCGAGGGCGGAGTGGGGGCTGTGTAGAGTTTGAGGGCGCTCCTGCACGCGTGTGTCAGTGGGGGAGCCCCTGGAACAGAGGAACGCGTCCGCCTGCCTCCTGCCCCAGGAACGTGCTGTGATGCCCGGGTGTATCCGCCGTCCCGACTCGGTCAAAGCGAAAGAATCGGTGCCCCCTTGCTCCCCGCCACCGCTAGCCTCCTCAGCTCCCTGAGCTGCGCACCCTTCGCCCCGCATTGGAGGGAAAAGCCCGCCAGCTGGGGGGGTGCCAGAGTGCCTGCCTTGCAGCCACCTCTAAAAATATCTCTCCCCCCCACTCCACCCGGCAGCTGCCACCTCCCTGCCCAAGGAGGATCCCCTCCCGCAGGGCAAGCCCAGAGGTGATTCCAGGTCCCGCTTCTTCACTGGCACCAGGGCCCGGGTCACCGCCTGCAGCCAGTTAGGGCAGGAAGCTCCTAGTCCAAGGGGGGCTCCAGGGCAACAAGGGAAGCTCTGGCTGCAATTTTAATATATGTGATTTTTATTGATTTTTAGAGAGGAAGGGAGAGGGATAAATAGAAACATCAATGAGAAACATCATCTATTGGCTGCCTTCTGCACGCCCCCTACTGGGGATCCAGCGACAACCCAGGCATGTGCCCTGCACAGGAATCTAACCAGTGATCTTTTGGTGCATGGGTCTGCGCTCAACCACTGAGCCACACTAGCCCGGCATCAGGCTGCGATTTTGTTGTTGTTGTTCATCCTCACCCAAGGATTTTTAGACAGTGGGAGGGGGAGAGAGTGAGAGAAACATCAATGTGAAAGAGACACACTGATTGGTTGCCTCCCACACGTGCAACTGAGGCACGTGCTCTTGACCAGAATCCAACCGGGAACCTTCAGTCGGCAGGCCTGTGCTCCATCCACTGAGCCGAACCGGCTAGGGCCTGACAGTTTTAAATCAGGCAATTTTAAATGCAAGTGGCACCAGAGACCCTGAGTTCCAATCCTGATTCTGATTCTGTGTGGCCCCAGATGTTAGCTTGACCTCTTTTGGCCTCTGTTTTTCCCATTTGCTGGTGGTGGCAGTGAGGTTGGGAGTGCTGTCTGGGGGAGGAAAATCCCAGCCTAGTGCCTGAATCTGATTTCTAGTGATTGATACGAGGAGACCTGATCTTTGTTGTTGTTGTTAATCCGAATCTGATTACTAGTGATTAATACAAGGAGACTAGATCTTTTTTGTTGTTAATCCTCGCCTGAGGCTATTTCTCCATTGGTTTTTAAGGAGAGTGGAAGAGAGATGGAAAGATAGAGAGAAATATCAATGTGAGAGGAACACGTCGACTGGTTGCCTCCTGCACAAGCCCCGACCAGGGTGCCAGGGAGGAGCCTGCAACCAAGGTATGTGTCTTTGAGAGGAATCGAACCCGGGACCCCTCAGTCTGCAGGTCGATGCTCCATCCACTGAGCCAAACAGGTCAGGGCTAGGGCTCCATTTTTTAAAAATATCTTTTTATTGGTTTCAGAGAGGAAGGGAGAGGGGGAGAGATAGAAACTTCAATGATGAGAGAGAAACATTGATTGGCTGCCTCCTGTACCCTTGACGGGAATCGAACCTGGGACCCGTCAGTCTGCAAGCCAACGCTCTATCCACTGAGCCAAATCAGCTAGGGCCAGGCACCACTTTTAGCTGGGACTAGTTATGGACTTCCTGTCACCACAAAGAAACCCTTCTCTCCTCTCTGTTCTAGCCTGCCGGAGAAGCTCAGAGATCCCTGCCCCTTTTATTTGAGGAACTCTTTTGGACGACACAAAATGATTTGATCATTCAGGACAAAGCTGCTCTAGAGGTGAGTCATTTGTGAACATCATGGGAACCAGGTTGACTACTGTGGGGCCGGGCTAGGGATGCCTGGCTTTCTGCTATGGGGACTAAAAGAAACAAGGACAAAAATAATACATTTTTAACCGATTTCCCTAAATACTATTATTAGTATATGCAAAAAAGTAACTGTCTTTTGCTATAAGAAATGAGTTTTGAGGATGATTAGATCAGTAGCATGCTCCACCAAACTAGAAAAAGATAAAGAAATGAAGGCAAAGTAAGGAGACCCTTTTCTATGGGATAAAAGTATTAGCCGGGATTCTGGAAGCTGGAACTCCCTCCAGATAAGGCCTAGGAGAGCCCTCCCACCCTCCAAAACCTGTCAATTCCTTGTCCCTGTACCTCCCTCCCCTTCTCTCCCATCATCTCCTCCACCTTGTCTCCTCTCCCGACCCCCCCCTCTTTTGCCCACTGCCTCTCCCAATTCCTAGATTAAAAGTTCTTAGAGAAAAGGCTGATACCCACATCCCTTCTTGACCGAAAGGGTTTCATGCATGTGTGGTCTAGTGGAGAGGGTTGGGGGCCCTCCCTCTGACCGGAGCCCTGCTCCTGGGATGTCCCAGTTTGTGTCTTGGGGGGAAATAGCTTCTCCCTGCTATCCTGGGATGGTCTGGGGCTGTAGTCGGCAAACTGCGGCTCGCGAGCCACATGCGGCTCTTTGGCCCCTTGAGTGTGGCTCTTCCTAAGCCTTAGGAGTACCCTAATGAAGTTACTAACAATGTACCTACCTATATAGTTTAAGTTTAAAAAATTTGGCTCTCAAAAGAAATTTCAATCGTTGTACTGTTGATATTTGGCTCTGTTGACTAATGAGTTTGCCGACCACTGGTCTGGGGAGAGTGTCACCTTGACAGTCAGAGGTGTTTCCAGTGTCACTCATTGTCACCACCAGAGGGCAGCAGCCAGCCAGACCTTTGCTCCTTGTTTAGTCTTCCTGGCTCTCAATGTCTTTCCAGATCTGTCCCAGATGCCTCTGGTCTCTTATTCAACTTCAGGGTGGAGGGGGCCAGGGGTGGAGGGGTCAGGGGTAGAGAAGGGCACTGGGAGCCGTAGGTGGTGTCCTTTATAGCCGCGTTGGTAAAGGCCCGTCCCCAAAGCCACATAGCAAAGTCCAGCAGAAATGTCAATCTGACTCTCCAGTCCCAGATCACCTGTGGTGCCGGGGGTCTGTGCCCCCCAGCTGTGGGACAATGAGCCTGATCACCTTCCCCTACCCTTGCGAGGACAGGGCAGGCAAGGCTGTGGCCAGGTGCTCATGATCCAGGGTCTGCCCGCGGGAACAGCAAGGCCATGGGCAAGTTATTTCACCTCTCTGAGCCTTTCTCATCTGCTGAATTCATGAAACTGATGAGCAGGGAGAGAATATGAGTGAAGGTGATCTGTAAACTATGTTGTACCGTACACAGAGAGGGACAATGATTATACTAGAGAAAAAAAGCACTGGTCTCAGAGTCAGGTCTGTTTTTTGGTGTTGATAATCCTCACCTGAGGATATTTTTCCCATTGATTCTTTTTTTTTTTCTTAGAGTGTGGAAGGGAGGGAGAGAGAGAGACAGATAGACAGACAGACATAATCTGCTCCCTCCCACCCTTCCTCTGACCAGGGCCAGGGACGGAACCTGCAACCCAGGTGTATGCCCTTGACCGTGAATCGAACCCTCTACCCTTTAGTGTGGGGTGCTGATGCTCTAACCACGGAGCAACACCAGCCAGGGCTCAGATCTGGTTTTGAATCTGTCTGCCATTTACAGTGGTGACCTTTGAGCAAGTCAGTTCCCCTCTCTGGGTCTCCAACTCTATCCTCTATAACCTCTCCAGCATCCTAGTGGATCGCTAAGAGGATGCCTAGCGAGGGCTTTGTGCTCTGCAAGCACTGCCCAGCTGAGGGGTTGTTTTTACTGAGCTCCTGGGAGTGGTTCCTGGGGCCCAGCAGCGGGGATAAGGCCTGGTAGCATCAGCGGTGGGAACACAGCCAGCTGACTGGGCACCCTCCAACGGACCTTGTGTGGTTGTCAGGAGCTCTGGACGACGGCTAGAGCCCAGCAGTCCCTACAGGTGGTGCTGGGGTGGTGTACCAACAATGAGCGGGTGTTTTCCAGTTGCTGGCCTCCGATGCCTGTCTAGGGTAAGTGGGTCCCTCTAGAGGTCTCTTAGGGTAAGGCCTCAACTTCCATGTTTCCATCCTGGGGTGGCAGGGACCCTATCTAGCCCCTTTTAGGCTTGCCCTCACCTCTACTGGGCCTCTAATCCCTAGAAGCTTCCATCCCAGGTGAGGGTCCTAATGCTTTACATCCTCAACTTCAGAGAGCCTGGGCCACAGGATGGTGCTGAGACCAGTGGGTGACTCTAGGGCAGCGGTTCTCAACCTGGGGATCGAACGACCCTTTCACAGGGGTCGCCTAAGACCATCGGAAAACACATATATAATTACATACTGTTTTTGTGATTAATCACTATGCTTTGATTATATTCAATTTGTAACAATGAAATTGGGGGTCACCACAACATGAGGAACTGTATTAGAGGGTCGCGGCATTAGGAAGGTTGAGAACCACTGGTCTAGGATGAGGTCCAAAGGACAGTTACGTTAGGGAGGCAGAAGGCCAGGTTCAAATCCCAGCTCTGAAGTTAGGACCCTGGACTGCTGTTTCACAAGGTATGCCAGGCCATAAACATCACAGAAATATGAGGGAGTTTGGAAGACACCAGAAAGAGGAGAGGTTTCATCTGGACTAATTGGGTGGAGGCTGGAAGGGGGGAAGGGAGGCAGTGTAGTACGTAGTGAACTTTGCATGACTTGCTCACCCTGCCCCTCCATCCATCCAGCTGCTGGCAGGCAGAGGTGGCAGGGACTGGCTGCCGAGGGCCTCTGCCTCCGTGTGCTTGCCTTTCTTTGTGCCCTCACACTTGCCCTGTTGTCTCCATTCTCTCCAAGGTCTCCACTTCCTGGAGCTCCTCACCCCCACTCTGTCTTCCCGTCCAGTCTGTCTCCACGCTCCCCCATCATTACGTCCTCCTAGTCCCCTCTTTCCCCACCGCTGCCTCATACCGTCCCCTACGGCCCCACTACCTTCTTCACCTTTTTAGCCACTGCTGCTCTCTTTCCTCTCCCTTACCTGCCTCAGGTATGCCGTGGCCTGGCGCGGGAGGCTCCTACCTCCCCCAGCCCCATTGCTTCTGCTGCTCGCTCGCTTCGGACTCTGGCACGAACCCCACCCGCTGATACGGTCCTTCCGGGGAATTGGCAAGTGACTAGTGATGAGCTGTCAGCACAGGCCCCTAAAACTCCCTGGAAAAGCTGAGTCCATCCCTGGACCCCTGCCCAGAGCCATCTGGCTGGAAGCGGCTCCCAGAGAGCCTCCCTGGGCCTTGAGCCTCTACCCAGCTATTCTGAGCTAAAACCCAGCTCCCTGGCCAGTGCCGAGGCCCAGCACCTACTCTCCAGGCCTGAGGTCTGGCACTCATGGTCCTCGTGCTTTGCATAGTGTCAACTAGCCTGCCCTGGAGACAAGCTCCTTATTGTCCACCACCGTCCACAGCCGTCGGCCCAGAGGGGATTGTGGAGGCTGTTCCCTTTGAGTGAATGGGTGGTTTCCCTGACCCTTTGTTAGGGAAGAAAGGAGTGGAGTCCCCTCCACCCTCCCTCTATCCATCCCAACAACTGGGGTCAGAAGTTTCTAGAAAGTCTAGTCCAGAAACGTCCCCAAAGGGTGTCCCCTCTTTTCCGCTGCCCCACGTTAAGTCCCAATGGCCCCGGATGAGAGTAGCAGAAAGAGGTGCCAAGGAAGCCCTCCTGGGCTCAGGAGGAGGCTGGTCCTCTGAGGATAAATCCCAGCGCGGTGAACTGAGAGGTGCCCAGGGGGCGGGCAGGGAGCTGGGGTGGGGGCCGCGGCGTTGGGTGCTCCCCCGGCTTAACCAGCCTTGGGTCCTCCTCAGGTCTTGGATGTGCCAGCGCCTCTGGCCGCGGCCTGCTAACCAGCCTCTCCCGGATCAGCGCCCGCGGCGCCTGCCCTCGCTTACTTCCTCCTCTTGCTGCTCTTCTCCCCCTGCTCCCAGGAGGGCGGGATAGCGGTGCAGGGGCGCCATGCTTCCTCCTGACCTTCGATTTGGACGAAACTATCCTGGACGAAAACAGCGTGGGGCCAGCGGCCTGGACGCCACCTACCGCGAGGGCTTCTACAACGAGTACCTGCAGCGGGTCTTCAAGTACCTGGATGAGCAGGGCGTGCGCCGGCGGGACCTGCGTGCCGTCTGTGAGACCATCGCCCTGTCCCGGGGCATGGGCGACCTGCTGCAGTTTGTGGCCAAGCAGGGAGCCGGCTTCGAGGTGATTCTCGTTTCGGATGCCAACACCTTCATCGTAGAGAGCGCTCTGCGCGCCACCGGCCACCTGGGCCTGTTCCGCCGCATCCTCAGCAACCTGTCGGGGCCTGACGCACGGGGGCTGCTGGCGCTGCGGCCCTTCCACACGCACAGCTGCGCGCGGTGCCCCACCAACATGTGCAAGCACAAGGTGCTCAGCGACCCCCTGCGCGTGCGGGCCCAAGACGGCGTGCACTTCGAGTGCCTTTTCTACGTGGGCGACGGCGCCAATGACTTCTGTCCCATGGGACTGCTGGCCAACAGCGACGTGGCCCTCCCGCGCCGCGGCTATCTCATGCACCGCCTTATCCTGGAGGCGCGGAGCCTGATCCAGGAGGCGCAGAAGGCCGAGCCCAGCTCGTTCCGCGCCACCGTGGTGCCCTGGGAGACCGCCCACGACGTGCGCCTCCATCTGCAGCAGGTGCTGAAGGCGTGCTGAGACGGCGGCCTGCAGGGGGCGCCCCGACCAGGAGTGAGGAAGGGAGATCGGGAAGACAATCTAGTTTTTTAACTTCCTTTCCCTTTCTCTTTGGTATGTCCCCCTTTGGTGTGGAATTTCTAGGATTCCAGGCCCGTCCATTCGGGGGCTGAAGGAGGGAGTTCAGAGCCAATCCGAACTATCCATGCAGTTAAACCAGCGCGGCTGCCTCCCTCAGAGCCACAGCAAACACTTAAATTCTGGACGGTGGCCCAACCGGGGTGATGCGCATTCCTGGGAAGGCAGCAGCGTTTCCTAAAAGCTCGTCCTCTGAACTGGGAGGAAGAGGTTCCCTTGTAGGCGAGAGAACTTTAACTGCTGCCCGGGTGTAACTTCCCCTCTTCCAGGCTTAGGTCAAGGAGGAATCCTCCCGCACCGACTCCCCGCGGAGAGAGGAAGCTTTCCGCCTACAGCCCCAGGCCTAGATTTCGCTTCACCTACCGCGATGCACACTACATCCCCTTTTCTTGCCTCCCTTCCCCGCCCATCCTGCCAGCAACCCCAAAGGAAGAAAAGCCAGACGGAACAGTCGCCTCCTGGTGGTGGAACGAGGTAGCACACTGTCTGGCTTGGGTCGGACCAGCCAGGAACCTCGCAGCGGTGCCTCGGTGTCTTCTCATACCCCAGCCTCGTCTATGCAACAAGACCAGGGACAACCAAAGTCACCCCCGTGGGCTGGGCCCTCTGCGGCCCCCTCCTCTCCTATGGAACAGAAAGCCATGATGTTTTAAAGCAGAGCCAGCGAAACCCAAGCCCCTCCTCTTTGGTGTTTTAGAGCTATTAAAGCAGGTGAAGGGGGAAGAGTCCACAGATCTCTGGTGCTGCCATCGGAGGGGTGAGGGTGAGGGTGAGGGTAAGGTGGTTCTTAGGGAGCCCCACTTATGTGAGGGATTGGTCCCCACTTTTTGCGGAGGGCCCAGCTTGAGGAACCAAGGCTGAATACACAGCAGGCAAAAGAACAGGGTGTGACCATCTGCAGAGGGCACCAGGGGCTCCAGTATAGAGGGCACTTAATGAAGGAGGAGGAGACGTGAGACAGACTTGCTAGGAGCAGGCAGAGGGGGCTCAATAACTAGGCGCCTTAGAACTGAAATGCCTTTTAGTCCCTTCTCTCTGCCCCCCGCCCCCAGCCCTCCAGGGCAGTCATCAGGAGTTCATCAGAGTTTTATTCAAAGTTGCCACTTGCAGCCGGAGACCCCACCCTCCATGGGATAGGGGTCCTCTGTGTGGACAACTCCTCGGCTTCCAGTTCTTTCCGGTCTGCAGCAGACCTCTGGGTACCTCCTCTAGTCCAGTCTTGCTTGATCTTGGAACTGGCTTTTGCCTGGGCCTCGAGGTTCACGCAGAGAAGAGCCCCAGGTCGTCTGTCAGCAGCTGGGCGCCACGTAGTTACCCGGGAAGAACCCGGTCCCCTCCGCGGTGACACCCTCACACCAGCCATCCGAGTGGCGGCGGGTGATGCAGATGACGGTGCCCTCGGAGAAGGAGAGCTCGTTGTCCTTCTGGCCAGTGTATGGGTACAGTGTCACCACTGCAGGGCGGAGGAGAGGGCGCCATGAGAAGTGCCTCCTGCCCAGCCATGGTGATACAGGGGCCTGCATGATTCTGGGGAGCACGTAGGGGAGAAGGGTGCAAGCCGTGGGGCAAGAGGTGCCTTTTCCCAAGCCCTGGGGACCGATCCCTTCCCCAGCTCAGTTAATCGCAGGCCAGCTGCTGTCTTCCCAGCTTGGTTCTGAACGACTGGGTAAACATTTGCTCAGTTCACCAGGAAGTGGGGGTGGGGGTGAGGGGGTCGATAGTAGGCCCAGAATGCATCTGGGGTGGAATGGGAACCCTGGTGGTGGGACCTGGGGTCCTTCAGGCCCAGAAAGGTGCCTACCTTTCTCCAAGTATGAAGCAGGGACCCAGCTGGGCTCTTCTGGCCCAAAGCCTGGTGGAGGTGGAGGTGGGAGTTCCAAATCATCTACATCCAGGATTGGAGGAGGGGGCAGGTCCAGGGGCGGGGGCAGCTCTGGGGCTGGGAGGGAAAACGAAGTCTGCCCTGTGGCACAGGGAACCCCCTCCACTCGCCCCAGGAAACTGCTGGTCAAGAGGAGGGCACCAGATCTGCCCATTTTATGAAATCTTCCTCCAGCCCTTGCCCAGCCTGGTCCTCCCACAATGCCTCCAGCGCAGAATAGGTGCCCAGTAAACACTGAACCTTTGGACAATGTAGGGTAGTCAGACTGCCGGTTAGCTGGGTAACCATTGGGCACGTCACCTAATCTTTCATCCTCAGCCTCGTCTGTTAAATGGGGGTGTGAAGATCCTCTTAGGGTTAGATTTAAGTGAGAAAATGGATGAGAAGCTTCGACCCCACCGCCTGGTATAAAGCAGGCCCTAAGTTGTTAGTTCATCTCCTCTGCCTCCTCCTTTCACTGAGGTGGGCGGGGTTAGATCCAAGAGGGGTGGGGAGGGGTATTGGGGGGTGAGACAGGGACCCCACAGTGGAGCTAGGAGGAGAGGGCGGAGTCCCTTACCTGGAGGGGGCAGGGACAGTTCCTCCAGCGGAGGGGGCAGCAGTTCGATGTCGGAGGCTGGCGGAGGGGGTGGGGCCA